CCCGACTACGCGAGTTTTCTCCGGGTATTCCGGTTTGCTCCCACAATAAGACCCCTGCGCGCTAACATCCGGGCCAACAAGAGTGATTAATATAAGATGAAATAACTTGTTGTAAAATAAATTAAAGTTTATATTTAAATAACATGTTTGTGTGAATAAAAACACACATTTTAAATTTCACAAATGGGAACGAAATCTATTCTCAAATACGTAAACTTACTTACCGTAGAACTTACCAGAATTTTAAAAACATGCTATATGGCATAGTGCTAAAAAGATTGTTCATGTCAATTCAGCTAGAATTTGGTCAATGATCTTTTATTTAGTAGACAAAACAGAACGAAAAGGCAAAAGCAAGAAAAGGTACGATGCATCCCGAAAACCGGATGCTTGTTTCGAGCCTTCTCGGAAAAACCTATTTCCGCTTTCATTTTAATTAATATTTTTATCCCTATCACATGACAGCTAAGGGTTAAAACTTTCAATTAGCTATTTTTAAATTCTGCGTATGTATGATGTGACGAAATTATATATCACATTATTCTAATGTTTTGTATTTCTGAAAAACGCGTGCCCAGCATACAGATGAATGATACATTTGTGTAACAGACCACTATCTACCCTGATTATGGGATAATATTTCAGGTAATGATGATCATCAGAGCGAAACTGTTAACAAATATAATCGAGGTGTGTGACAGTTAGTGGTTGCCTTTGGGCGCGCCTGTCGTCGTGATAGATCCTGTAAATTATAATAATTACGTGTAGTCTAGCATGTCATACATATTTTGGTGTCGGGACGTTTCGGTAACAAGACGAAAGTCGTTTCAGGACATGTCAAAAGTAGTTTCGGGATTTTCTTTTTCATTCTGTAGATACCATTGTCTTTTTTCTTTAAACATATTTTAATGTCAAATAAATTTAAACAATCGATTTGATAAAAGTTATAACAACTTACTATTTACATGATTTGAATAAAACATGAATATATATATATAATGTAACAGGAGAGGGAAAATGCACGGCAAGACCAGGGTTCGAACCTGGGACCCTCCGAACTATAGACGAATGCTCTACCAATTGAGCTATCTGGTAGCCGACGATCGACCCAGTCCAATTCCGCTACAATAATATTCACACAGACACAAATGCACAACATAAAAACAATGTTCAACATATATTCCTGGTTTTGATGAATTGATTCTCATGTCTAAAACATATTCTATGTGTTTCACGTTTTTACTTTCATGAAATTTAATTTCAATTATCAAAAATAAAATGCTTAAAACATTGTTAGAATCAATGTTAACTCATTCGTCTCTTAATGTCAATAATGGAGAATAGAGTGAATTGAAAACATATTATTACAATATCAAACAAGGAATCTCAAACAAGGAATCAACCTATCAATAACGAAAGAAATTGAATGTTGAATTTCAAAAGTTCCCCTAGATCTGTATTTAATAATGAGATTAGTTTCACCAGGTAACAACACACTGTCAATCGGGTAAATGTTGGTAGCCTAAGGTATCCCCTCAAGCGCTAGAAACCGGTAACACTAATGATCCCAAGCACGGGTAAGTCGTGACACAGCTCATAGACTAAAACCATACTTGTGTATTTACAGGACTTTATATGAAACGGGAGCGAAATGTAATTTAAAAGTGAAAATTGTATATGTCCCAAAACGACTTGATTAAGTCCCGAAATATCTTGTGTCATGTCCCGAAACAACTTGTGGACTCCCGAAACGACTTGTTACCGAAACGACCTGTTACCGAAACGACTAGCATTCCATATTTTAGGGTTGTGTAGTCCTAGGCCTACATGTAGCTTTGTTAGTTGGTAGATCACAATAATACTTAGGATACCGGACGTGTATACATCAATAAACACTATAGTGATATGCATACAGATGAGTAGTATACATGATGTAAATCCTGATCAAGTTGACAATAAATTTATGGCTGAAAATATGGTGTTCTGTGCACATATACAATATTATGTAAATATGTTCGCCAACCAGCATCAACTATAATGGATAAGTTGTAGTCCTTTAAGCTATTTGTGGATAGTGATGAACCTGTAAGAAGAATTATTATTTGACATGTTACCTGAGTGTAACTAACCATGCCACCTTAATTCACAAAGTTGTTTCTACATTTATACAAATATATGCATATATGAGAATCAAGTGGTTATCAGGCGGAGATCTGTAAAGGTACATTAGAAACATCCCCCAACATATGCAGGCGTTCTTAGCTAAATACAATATAAACTTTTATACGAAATCCATGTCAAACCTGTGTTGTAGATGTGAATGTACATTGTAGAGGGGAGGTGATTGTGTCATGGATGACTTTGCTGGTGAAGAGTTGATCCAGGCTGCATTGTTTGATAATGATGAACTGCTCCGATGTCTACTGGAGGGCGATTGTCGTAACCATATCAACATAACTGACCGCTGTCATCGCACTGCCTGCTTCACAGCAGTATCCAATAATAGCATCAAGTGTCTCCGCATCCTCCTAGAGTATGGCGGTGTGTGACTCAGAATTCAAATTCAAACTTATGTGACATGCAGATATGTTATTACATCATGTACAACTGTTACATTTTCTCTTATCGTTATAAGCTAAGTGAGAATCTAATTTTGAGAAGTTCTTTTCCTTTATATGAATGTTTGACCATGCATGCAGGAGTATTGAATTCCCTTTCCTTACTTCACATCAATTTAACTTTTAATTTGCAACAGAATGTATATTCTCTTTACTTTCTAGACCATGTAAGTAAATAGGTTTCAGGTGAAAAGAACTGACATTCCTTGTGTGATTTGATCTTTATTCACTCCTAAACATTTATAAACAGTAATGTATTCATAAATACATCATGAAATCTGCAGACAATATTTGCTACAACAATATTATTAATGCTACTATGTCTTATTGATTTGATTAGTGATGTTCAACCATTTCATATCAATCAATAGCAGGTATCATTACTACTTCAGTAATGATACTTTGTATATTTGTCAGTAAAGTACATTTAACCTTTTTCTTGACAGCTGATCCCAATATTCCTGCAGGAGAAATGCACAATCTCAGAGTAAGTTAGTTTCCTTGTCATTGATACGTTACGTTTTATGTCTCATCTGAATGATTGTGGCTAAACGATGAAATAGTAAAGATATTATTTTCTGTCAAAGTCATCATAATAAGTTTAGCTCTGATCCTCAAAATACATTAAACTTTATTGGTTTTCAACCAATTAAACTTACAACGCAGTTCTATCTCATGATGGACATCACATGAATTTCTGTATATATGCTTTTTGATCCATTTAGTGGATACTTAACTTGACTTGAGCTTTTTGTTTATGAATTGCAACCAAAGTTGAAATACCATGTTATATTGTCAGATTTTGTATTCTATACATACTCTTACATTATACCATGGTATTTCAACTATACTATAGGATCTATTATTCTGCTATATGAAATGCTGTACTATATACTAGAATCCAATTCTTATCTGCTGTTCTGTACTCCTGAAGTGGGACATCTGAGTGATGTCCTCATTGTCCTACAAAGCCACTGTCTTTTGTATTAAGACACTGAAGTTTCAAACAAGGAAAGACAATTCAAATATGACTGTGAAACGTGTGTTTGCAGGTCATGTATTAAATTCAATAATCACATTTTTGAAATGAATTTTTCAAGGTTTGACATTTGTGGTGAACAGTATTATCTCCCTTGACAGACACCTCTCCACTGTGCTCTGATTGATGGAAAAAGGGAGATTGTAGAGCTACTGGTTCATAATGGCGCTGATTTGTATGCTGTAGACGTTTTAGGGCTGTCTCCCCTTTCCTTAGCAAGGAACATAGAGCGTGCTGACTTCATACAATGTTTGGAGAGAGAGAATGGTAGGCTTGAACATGATGACAGATTTTACAGAACAGATTTTTTCAAATCTGTATAATTATTAATAATAGGTGTTAAATTACAAAAATGAATCAATCTATATTTCACATGTCGCATGAAGATATGTTCAGGCATATTTAAACAAGGGTGTTTGGCAGTTTGGGTTCATTTTGTGAATATGAAAATCTTGTAAATATGGTAAGACCTATACAGTAGAACCCGCTTATTATTATATCCTATTTGCCAGAGAAAAATATCATAATAACCCATATATCATGATAACTGATCAAGCTGTTTTCCGTCGTTTTTATGTTGTCTGTAGTGGGAAGTCATTTATCTTTTGCTTGTTCCAGCCTACTCGGCTGTAAATAAGTATGTGGTTGGGCAGTGCTAGAATTGTTGAATGCTAGCTGTTAGCGCCGAAATGGCAGCTCCGGCTGTAGCTGTATTCTCCCCAGGGAGTTGAGAAATGTAATGGCTGGTTGCAGAGGACCTATAACCATGGATAATAATTTGTGAACCGCTTAGAGACGACCTACGAACTAGGATGTGATAAAGCGGTATATAAGAACCTCCAATTATTATTATTATTTATGACAAATTCACATGGTCCTGATCAGTTCAGTCAACTATGGCTGCAGATGGTACACTTGTGCTTGTACATTGTCTAGAAACATTTATTTTCTTAAGAAACATAAATTTAGTCCTTGATTATTTGGTCTGTACTATATACTGGCCTGTATAATATACTAGGCTGTATACGCACTACACGCCATAATACAAGCTTCTAAAATTGATTGTTTTTGACTGTTTCAGATCGAAGAGATAGACTGGCAGAGGGTCACAGGAAAAGTATGATCATTAAGTGTTAACATTTTCAAATATTTGGATTGGTTATTATGACAGATGTAGGTTGTACTTCTGTTTTGATAGCTGATCTGATATCTCTGTGGCTATACTTTTAACTCTGTAGCGGATTTCGGAGGATCTAGTGTTCGAACCCCAGTCTGGCCGTGTATTTTTCCTCTCCTCTTACAACTCTTCTTATTTTCTTCTATAGTCAAGTACATGTAAACTGTACATTACTCTAGGCAATCCTTTAGCTGTTGTCAACGACTAGTATCATGTACATTTGTGTGTAGATTCCAGCTTCACATATGTTTCTTCAGTTAAGGAACTCCTTAACTTAAGTTTTTCTGGAACTACAACACAGGGAAGCATTGGTAGTAATTTCCTTTAACTTTTGTTATGTTTATTGAACTAGGGACTGTACAATTTCATTCTTATTGGTTTGTTGTTCTAGGTAATAGTATATGATACTGAATCAATAAATAAATATATGTACAAAATTCAGTTAAAGTATTTGTAGAACTTATTTTCAATAAGATCATTAATTAATCAGAATTTTAAATTAAAATACATCTGTTCAAAACAGCTCAGGGGATATCCTTGAGAATGATACCAGGCAGGGAAAGAGGCAAAGACTTTATCAACAGAAGCTTTAAATGATACATTGTGGGGAAAGAGATAAAAGTTACCTTTAAATGAGTAGAAAAAGAGATAAAGACATTTTTTTATCAGAGTAGGGAAGGAGATAAAGAAGTTATTTAATCAGAGTACAGAAATAAATTAAGATTTTATAAGCAGATCTCATTTTATCCATCCTATATGTATTGTTCTGCAGATTTTATTAAAGCTTGTGAGAGAGAGGACATCCATGCCGTTAAGTCGGCCCTACATGTCGCCGAGTCCACTAAGCGTCTAGTCAATGAGAAGATAACTGAAGATGGCCTCACGGCTCTGTGTCTGTAAGTTACTTGGTCAGATCTGTGTGTCGGGTTCTCAACATTAGGGATGGAACTTTTCTATTTTTCGTATGCATACAGGGTCATATAATCATTGTAACATGTATCTGTGACATTTTGATGACAATTAAAATATAAAGTTTGCCATCTTCATCAGACCAGTAAAGGTGTAAGATATGTATATTGAGTACATGTATACACTATATTTAATTTACCAACCAGAATTAGAATAAGCATTCAAAGTCACAGGTATTGTTGATACATGATTTTCAGTTACAGGTATAGTGGTTTTATAATGAAATTGGACTAAACATACATTAATTTGGTACTAAGTCTACGTTCTTAGTGTTGGAAATTTAGAAAAATATGCACTTAGTTTTAGTAACAGATGAGTAAAACAGACCCTCTGGACCTCATATTTTGATAAAGATTAAAACCATTAGTAACAAAACAAATTACCTATAAACGTGGTGGTATTGTATGATTGTAAGCAATAATTAACACTATTATAAATTATACAGGGCCTGTAATCAAGGTAACTATGACATGGTGGCCCTCCTGCTCGACTGGGGGGCAGACCCTCAGGTGTTCGGGGATACCGGTGAAGGACCAGCCCACATTATCTGTCAACAGGGAGATAGCAAGATACTTTTCCTTCTGCTTCAGGTAAGTAACCATGGAAATAAAACAACTACCAATCAGGTTTTGTAGATCACCAACTCAATACATTTATGATTTAGATTTCTCTATATATGTACAAGACCACACACTTGTGTTTTTCTAATGAATCAGAAAGCACAAGTTTATTGCGCGGACGAATATATTCAGGAGTGCGCGGAACGCACGAGTGAGTATATATACGTCCGCGCAATAAATGAGTGCTTTCTGGTTCGTTATAGAAAAACACAAGTATGTGGTCTTGCTTTTATCACATACCTTCCATATTTGGTAGAGATCGATACAAAGATTTTATAAACTTGGATATTTTTTGCAAATACCGTGAACTTTTCAGTTTGCCATGACAAGGGGATTCCCATAAAAAGTAGTTCCGGCTAGTAGGTAAATACAACATTCCGTATTGCAAATGTGCAATACAGAACATTGTATTTCATGGTCTGAAAATTGTTTGTATTACTAGAACAACATTCAAGGTATGTGATGAAAACCAATACGTAGAAACGTTAACAACAATTTAACTTCCTGTCTTATCCCTTTCCTTTATGAAGGCAGTTACATCTTATCAGTTCATTGCTAAGGAATTACATATTATCTTTGTTGTGAAGGGAAACTCAAAACTGAGCAAATACAGATTTTACTCGTGAAGTAAAATATATCATTGAGTGATATTTTCTAGTTTACTGTACATGCTGTAGGTAGGAATTGTCATTTGTGTGTCTGAGTTTATAATTATGTGCTTTAGTTTTAGCCTACATGCATGTAAATGGGGCTGCTGCAGAAAATAAATGCTAACGTAAATTTGGATATTTATTATCGCATATTGAAGCTGTTTATATATACTCAAGTTGAATTCAGAAGTTGTTTGTTTGTTGTCATTCCAGCGATGTATTGACATAGTGAAATCCAAGTCAGCAGACGAGAACCTTCCACTGCACAAAGCCATCCAGGGCGGCCATGTTGCTGTGGTAAAACAGCTACTGGAGTTCTCATACCCAGACAGTATGATGATAGAACTTAGCGTGGAGGTTGGGGCAAGTAGCCTCATCTACTCCTTCCCTTTTGATGTGAACTCCCCCAATGTGTTTGGCCATACTCCCCTGTACCTGGCTTGTTTAGACGGGGACTGCTCCCTTCTTGAGTACATGTTAAATTTTGAGGTGCCTGCCACTAGTACAGGCCCACCAACGTTTGGTCATATGGCTTCAGGAAGTCAGTTAGGGGACACTTCAGAACCTGTTACACCAGACGTTGGGTCTCTCAATCACTGTAAACCCTTTCAGGTGAATGTTGAGAGCGCCTGTAGGTTCATTCCCCTCCATGCAGTGATAAAGAAAAGAAATCATGTGTTGGTTAACCTACTACTGGAAAAGAAGGCTGATCCCAACAGTTTTTACATCAAAAATGGTCGCCATGTGTCAGCGCTCTTAGTCGCCTGTGAGAATCAGGACAGCCTCACTCTGGACAAACTTCTGCGGTATGGGGCTGAGGACAAAGATAATTCTATTTTTACATATGTTGTACGTGACCGACAGAACCTACTGCCTATCCTGCTCAAGTACAAGAGTACCAAGGAAAAATCAGCTGATCACACCATCAACAAGGCAGCCATGAAGGGGGCTTACCTTGAGTCACTGTGTGGACCCTCAGAAGAAGCAGGTCAGTTTTCTTCCATAAACATCAACTATAAGAAGATGTTCCCGGTGACGGCTGTCTACCTACGCTGGCAGAACCTAAAGGGACTGACTACAGTGGAGGAAGATTGGCTGATGAGCTGTGCTTACCACTACAACCTTACGATGAAGACCATCAGCTCCTTCGCCCTGTTTGCCATTACCAGGGTAGACATCTCCAACAACAAACTTGGAGTCATGGTTCCCAGAGTGTTTTTTAAACTCCCATCTCTGCACACACTGAACCTGTCCAGGAATATGCTGTCTAAGTTCCCTACTGAGGACAGCATGGTAGTAAGCTGTAGTTGTTTGGAGGAACTAAGGATCGATGACAACAGACTAGAGGCATTACCTTCATATCTCTTCAGTTTGATGTCACTGAAACACTTGTCTGCAGCCTCCAACCTGATCAAGGATGTTCCTGCAGATGTCTGGTGCTGTCCTTCGCTAGTGGTGCTGAACCTGTCTCACAATAAGTTAGCATCCCTTCCAGAGCCTAAGGTCACATCTCTCAGGACCTCGGGCATTGATGATGGAAGTATAACAGAGTTTGAGAGCTCAATGATAATAGGTTCCCCAGGTGAAAACCATGTGAAACACGTTAACTATTGGTGCAGTCATCTTGACACGAAAGAGACAGACTTTGACCTTGCCAACCATCCAGGTAAAGAACACAGTGGTCTGAAGGATCTTGACTTATCACAAAACCTTATAACAGAAGTCCCACGCTGGCTTTGCTGTGTGTCTCCACACATGGAGAACTTAAACCTTGCCCAAAATAAGTTAGACAGTGCGTCCAGACTGGGAATATATCCTCAGCATCTGAAGACGCTGGACCTAAGTGGAAATTTGATTGTGAACCTGACCCCCTGGGATGGGGAATATGGTGCTGACACCAGTACCAGTATGTGTTACCGCGGCAGAGTGTAAGTATACCAGCCAAAGATCATGGTATAAATATGCTGACACAGAGGTTTGATCATACAGGGAAGAGGTCATATATGTCACAAAAATTGAGTTTCATCATAATTTTAAGCTCACCTGGTCTGAAGGACCAAGGTGAGCTTATGCCAAACCGTGGTGTCCGTCGTCCATCCGTCCGTCCGTCCGTCCGTCAACAATTTCTTTAAACGACTTCTTCTTTTTAACCACTGATTGGAATTCAACTAAATTTGACTGGAAGCATCCCTAGGTGGTGGGGATTCAAAATTGTACAAATGGTGGGGCTGAGGAGCGGGGCCAAAAGGGGTCAATTTGACTATATTGCTTTAAGCGACTTCTTCTCTGGAACTAAGAAGTGGATATCAACCATATTTGACTGGAAGCATCCCTAGGTGGTGGGGATTCAAATTTGTACAAATGATGGGGCTGACCATCCAGGGGGCTGAGGGGCAGGGCAAAAAGGGGGCAATTTGGCTATATTGCTACAAACGACTTCTTCTGTAGAACTATGCCATGGATATCAACCATATTTGACTGGAAGCATCCCTAGGTGGTGGGGATTCAAAATTGTACAAATGGTTGGGCTGACCCCCCAGGGGGCTGAGGGGCGGGGCCAAAAGGAGTCAATTTGGCTATATTGCTTTAAGCGACTTCTTCTCTGGAATTAAGAAGTCGATGTCAACCATATTTAATTGAAGCATCCCTAGGTGTCAGGGATTCAAAATTGTACAAATGATGGAGCTGACCCCCCAGGGGGCTGAGAGGCAGGGCAAAAAGGGGTCAATTTGGCTATATTGCTTTAAGCGACTTCTTCTCTGGAACTAAGAAGTGGTTATCAACTATATTTGACTGGAAGCATCCCTAGGTGGTGGGGATTCAAAATTGTGCAAATGATATGGCTGACCCTCCAGGGGGCTGAGGGGCGGGGCAAAAAGGGGGCAATTTGGCTATATTGCCACAAACGACTTCTTCTGTAGAACTAGGTCATGAATATCAACCATATTTGACTGGAAGCATCCCTAGGTGGTGGGGATTCAAAATTGTACAAATGGTTGGGCCGACCCCCCCAGGGGACTGAGGGGCGGGGCCAAAAGGAGTCAATTTGGCTATATTGCTTTAAGCGACTTCTTCTCTGGAATTAAGAAGTCGATGTCAACCATATTTAATTGAAGCATCCCTAGGTGTCAGGGATTCAAAATTGTACAAATGATGGAGCTGACCCCCCAGGGGGCTGAGAGGCAGGGCAAAAAGGGGTCAATTTTGCAATATTGCTATAAGTGACTTCTTCTCTGGAACTAAGAGGTGGATATTAACCATATTTTACTGGAAGCATCCCTAGGTGGTGGGGATTCATACAAATGGTGGGGCTGAGTGCGAGGCAAAAAAGGGGGCAATTTGGCTATATTGCTATAAACGACTTCTACTGACGAACTATGCCATGGATATCAATCATATTTGGTCGGAAGCATTCATGGGAGGCAGGGATTCAAAATTATACAAATGGTGGGGCTGACCCCCCGGGCTAAGGGTTGGGGCCAAAAGAGGTGTATTACTTGGAAATGGTTGAGATCCCCACCATATAACCATGGTATACAATTGCTGAGTATAAAGAGAAGAATGAAGATTTGCTTCCAGGATGGCTATAGGGTCTGGCCCCACCCTTGGAGACATAGTCCCTGGGCCATAACTTTAAAACTGTTGAGATCCCCACCCCAAAACTATATATATAAATGCTGGGCATAAAAAGACGAATGCAGTCATGATATCAGAATAGACCCTGGGGTCTGACCGAACCCCTAGGGACCTAGTTTGTTAGTCACAGCTTGGAAACAGTTGAGAGCCCCACCCTATAACGGTATATACAATTGCTGAGTATAAAGAGATGATTGCACATATGCTTCCAGGATGGCCTTGGGGACTGCCCCACCCTTGGAGACTTAACCCCTGGGTCATAACTTCGAAATGGTTTAGATCCCCACCCCAAAACTATATATACAATTGTTGGGCATAAAAAGACGAATGCAGTCATGATATTAGAATTGACCCCAGGGTCTGCCCCAACCTTGCAGACTTAACCGCTGGGTCATAACTTTGAAATGGTTGAGATCCCCACCCCAAAACTATATATACAAATGCTGGGCAAAAAGAGACAAGTGCAGTCACGATATTAGAATTGATCCTTGGGGTGGCCACAACCCTAGGGACCTAGTTTCTGAGTCAAAGCTTGGAAACAGTTGAGATCCCCACTCCATAACCATACATAAAATTGCTGGGCATGAAGAATCTAATACATGTACAGATATGCTACAAGGATTGGCCTTGGGGTCTGGCATATTCCCTTGATCTCATTCGGAGAATATTTTGCCATGATTGCTTTGGTATCCAGGTGAGCGATAAAGGCCCTATGGGCCTCTTGTCTAATTTGTAAGTTCATCTAAAGTGACTGTTGCATTTTCTGGAAATTTTACGGAATGTGAAATAGCGGCTTATATATAATAATGTTTTAAGTAAAACATTTCTTTACAGTATTATTGCACATGATACTTATTTTTTCCCCGTGATATTTTCAGTATTATGACACGTGGTACTTAGCTGTTTCCCGTGATATTCTATATAACTAACTAACTGCTATTTTTTATCCTGTGTGTCTTTATAGACAGAGGATCTCGCCCCACTCTGTGTCCCCAGGTTTTGGTCACAGCTACTTGCCCACTTGTACTCACCAGAATCACACCCTTCTTGAGCGATTGGACACCCTCAACCTCAGCAGCAACAGATTCCTGAGGAAGATGATCGTGTGTAAACATCAGGAGGGCGCCAATCCTCAGAGGACAGGCTCTACATCTTCCCTCGGCTCTACAGCTAGTGTATGTATCAGACCTCTGATATATGTGTTTCTCTTTATACATTAATAATTTAATGTTGGCTATTCCTCCAATGGTAGACTTTTCCAGGTTATATCGTAGAACCTAAAAAACAGAAGCCAATGTTTGGTGCGGTATCTGTTATTCTAACTTCTGATAGGTTGAAGATGTTTTGCGATGAGATTACTGTGCAATGTTGTGTTTTTGTTTTTTAAAGAAATGAATAAATATTCTCTAACTATGAATTATAAAATGTTGTCTGACTAATCAAATAAAATTATAAGCGATAACAAAAATTATTATTGGGGTTATAAAGTATATACAGAAAAAACTTGGATTTATGCAAATTTAAAGTGCACACAGTTTACTTCTGTATATACTGTATAACCCAAAAAATAATCCTTATTATTCCTTAATTAACCTACAAAGACAATACTCTCCCATGTAAACATTGACCCCAGACCTATTGCATTTTCTTACTTCACAATGAAAAAAAGTCACAATTTGTGTGAGATTAGCTCATGTGTCACGCTCTTCTGGTTAGTGTGCTTACAGATCCTATTTATTTAATGGCTATTACATCTTTCATCTCAATAGATTATATATATGTGTCATAAAATTATATAACATTTGTTGCATAGTTCTTGAACAAGTACATGATGTGTATGTACAAATGTGTAGTATTAGTCTATGTGTAGTGTATTGACATATAGTGTAAAACGCTGTGCATGTATTTCAGATTTACTTGAATTGTGTGTGTATTCTATGGGTTACACTCACTAATACTCTCTGCACCCATGGAATATTTCATAACAAATGGAAGGCTCTGTACATGCTGCACTCGTTTGTTCCTTTAACGTAAGTCAAAAGAATTGTGTGGAAAGGTAAAATTGACAGGCTTTAAAGTTTGTAGTTGTTCCTCTGTAATCATCAAAGGACAGGTAGCAAGCAGCCTAGCAATTGGTGCAATTTTTATGCAAGACCAGTCAAACAGCTATCTTCATGCCTTCAATATCGCCATGACATATTCTAGGGGTGCAGAAAGCTTAAGTGAGTATAACCCTTGGTAGTATCAAGGATGGTGATGTATGGTTGTCAGGTGTATGTATATTGTATTATTAGGATGCAGTGTATTAGTGCACATGTTTTATTTCCTGTTTGAAAGGTCATGTCTATTATCATAAACATTTTATTTCATAATTTAAAAAAAAAATGTATTTGTTGCATCAGGTGTCAGTAATTATTACAATTTCTATCTTGAAACATGGTACTTTTTCACATCTGATCTATTTTCATTTATCATCTTTCAAAAACTTGATTACTTTGACATTTTCCAGATGGGATCCTTCAGTGTGTTGCCAGGGGTAGCGGATGAGGTGACCCGTCGCCTCATCTTCCCCAACTTGACCAGTCTTGACCTCAGCCACAACAAAAGTCTCACTGACCTCCCTCCAGAGATTGGCAATCTTAAAAACCTGAAACGCCTGTCCCTCAACAGGTCTATGGTATCGGAGGTGAGTACAGTGACTAATGGCGTGTTGATGGTCAGTAAGGTAGCTCTCAAAGACATTCTGGGTGCTATATAGACATTCTAACATTTTGCACTGTATACTAAACATCATGAAATATATGCTGACATTTTTCGATATTTATAAAGTACATTGCATCTCTGTGGCAAATAATTGTTCGTGGTGTTTCTTATCATGATGCTTATCATAAAAAAGGAATTGAATGAGATTGTAACTAAGTAGCAAGTATTTTGTTTTAATTAGGATTAAACAATACAATTTAGAAGCAGTGAGCGATGAAAGCCTGTGAATTATAATCAACATTCTGACAGAGTTCATTATATTTCCGTCTCTGTTCGTTTGTTATATAAACACTGAGGAAAGATCACCCTGACTAGGGTATGTCAGATGAGGTATCCATGGATACCAGTTAGAGATCTAGCCAGTGTTAGGATAACATTATGTACTTCGATAAAACAGATAGAGTCCCCTCCATAGAGTGGGCCATCAAACTGACACTTAGCTACTTCATGAAGTCATTGCATTTATATACATTGCATATTAGATCATAAATAATCTGAAAACGTCGTTTTTCTTTCCTATACAGCTACCCCCAGAGCTTGGTTGTTTGAAGAATTTGATAACATTGGAGCTTGAGTTTTGCCCTCTGCAGGGCCCCATTCAGGATGTGATTAGAACATCTAAAACCCCCCGTGACATCCTTGGTTTTCTTCACTCAATCCTAGAGGAGTAAGCGTACATAGTCATTCTACTAAGGGAAAACAAAACATTGCAGACTACCATCATGATATAATTTTGAAATATGGGATAAACTCATCTGTTAAAAAACATTCACCACCTACAGAAAGGTCAAAATTAGTTTATATAATTTTTTTTACAAAAAAATCTTTTGAGGAATTCATTACAGAACTGTAGAGTACAACTGTATGTATCTGACATTTAGTATCTTCTCCTTAGAGTAGTAGAGTACAACTGTATGTATCTGACATTTAGTATCCACCTTACAGGGCAGTAGAGTACAACTGTATGTATCTGACATTTAGTCTCTTCTCCTTAGAGTAGTAGAGTACAACTGCATGTATCTGACATTTAGTATATATATATCTTCCTTACAGAACAGAAGAGTACAACTGTATGTATCTGACATTTAGTATATATATATCTTCCTTACAGAACGGAAGAGTACAACTGTATGTATCTGACATTTAGTCTCTTCTCCTTAGAGTAGTAGAGTACAACTGCATGTATCTGACATTTAGTATATATATATCTTCCTTACAGAACGGAAGAGTAAAACTGTATGTATCTGACATTTAGTATATATATATCTTCCTTACAGAACAGAAGAGTACAACTGTATGTATCTGACATTTAGTATCTACCTTACAGGGCAGTAGAGTAAACTGTAGGTATCTGACATTTAGTATCTACCTTACGGGGCAGTAGAGTAAACTGTAGGTATCTGACATTTAGTGTCTTCCTTACAGGGCAGTAGAGTACAACTGTAGGTATCTGACATTTAGTATCGTCCTTACAGGGCAGTAGAGTACAACTGTATGTATCTGACATTTAGTGTCTTCCTTACAGGGCAGTAGAGTACAACTGTATGAACCTGATGTTTGTTGGTGTCCATAAAATAGGCAAGACATCACTGCTGCGACAGATCAGGAAGAACAGGAAAACACCCAGGGGGATACGACCTCCTACCGTAGGTTCAAGTCTATACCAAGAGCTACCTACCTAAGTATCATTTCTCTCCACTAGGCAGGTTATCCTGTCTGAGTTTTTCTCAACTCTCACTGGATAGAAGTACGGCGATTCTATCTAATTAGCCACTCCCACCACAAACATTACTGATGGGGATTATGGGTTTGCACTCCATCCATCAGTTAATCCATGCCTCTCTCTTACCAGGGTGTATCTCCTATACTCTGTCATCTATAATAGCCAAATTTTGTATGTCATTCTTTGAATGGCTGTTACCTTCTGAAAATTGGATCTATTCTATTGCTCCCCTATAAACAAAGCTATGGCCCTTTGTTCATTATACGTCACTTTGTCTGGGGCAGTCTTGTATACTCTGTCACCTAGCTCAATTGCTAAAACTTGTATGGGAGTTCCTGTTTGGTTGGTGGAGTGTGGAATACTAGAATGGAGTCACATGCCTACACTATATACAAAGTTATAGCCCTTTGTTTACCACGCTTCACAAATCAATAGATACTTTCGAGGAGCAGCTTGTTTCGTACATCTAAACGGGACCTTAATGTATAAATGGTACATGTATTTACTCTGTTAAGTTTAGATATCCAAAGCTTAACAAGGTAAAATTCTAATGGGTCATTTAAGTCTTGTTGATGGTCACTAAATTTCATAATATGTAGATGGAAATAAAGTGAACCCTGATCTATTACCAACATAGCCCTATAAATACATACTGTAAACTTCAACAGGATTTGATGACCCAAAATGACCGGTTCTTCATCTTAATTATAACCACTTCCTTCACTGGCCGTGTCTTGTCTGACCAAATGCCCAAAATCTGACATATCTTTAATGACCATAGGTGTTAATAAGACGTAAAACACAAACAAACCAAACTGTCCTAATGCTCTGTGTACTCCTGATATTGATTCAGTCAGATTTCTTTGTATAAAATTTAAAGTTTGATACTTTAAAATAATGTCATGCACAACTAATATCCGCAGTGATGTTAAAAGTCAATGAATGGTAGTCTAAACAAAATATTTCCAATGCTTGTACAGGTTCCATATACAGAGATGACTGCATGATGGGTTCTGTATATAGTGTGTGTGAGGTTTTATATACAGTACTTTGAGGGCTGAATGTATCCTATTTGTGTGAGGTTGTATATTCCGTCTTTGCATATTGCAGAGTTATCTTCTCTTGTGAGCAGGTATTGATTGTTACGTCATTGGTTTGTGTGAGAAAATTACTTCGTTTTCTCAAAAATTGATGACGTTACTCTCACCAACAAATGACGTTATAATCAATACCTGCTCATAAGAGAAGATAACTCTGCAATACACAAAGACGGAATACAGTACTTTGAGGGCTGAATGTATCCTATGTGTGTTGATTGTATATACAGTACTTTGAGGGCTGAACGTATCCTATGTGTGTTGGTTGTATATACAGTACTGTGAGGGCTGAATGTTTCCTATGTGTGTTGGTTGTATATACAGTACTTTGAGTGCTGAACGTATCCTGTGCGTGTTGGTTGTATATACAGTACTGTGAGGGCTGAACGTATCCTATGTGTGTTGGTTGTATATACAGTACTGTGATCATGAGGGCTGAACGTATCCTATGTGTGTTGGTTGTATATACAGTACTGTGAGGGCTGAACGTATCTTATGTGTGTTGGTTGTATATACAGTACTGTGAGGGCTGAACGTATCCTATGTGTGTTGGTTGTATATCCTATGTGTGTTGGTTGTATATACAGTACTTTGAGGGCTGAGCGTATCCTATGTGTTGGTTGTACGTACTGTGACAGGTGTATGATGGGTGTATACGTATAGGTTGTACATGATGTGACAGGTGTATGATGGGAGTATATGTATAGGTTGTACATGATGTGACAGGTGTATGATGGGTGTATATGTATAGGTTGTACATGATGTGACAGGTGTATGATGGGTGTATACGTATAGGTTGTACATGATGTGACAGGTGTATGATGGGTGTATATGTATAGGTTGTACATGATGTGACAGGTGTATGATGGGTGTATATGTATAGGTTGTACATGATGTGACAGGTGTATGATGGGTGTATGATGGTATCTGTGTGTTCTTGCAGCACTGGATAGAGCGACGGGACAAGAAGGCCCACCCTACCGATGATGACGCACCTCTGTCCACTGTGGGCATTGACATCCATGAGGTGGTCATTGGGGAGAGTAGGGAGCACGGACCAATCACCTTCAGGACGTGGGACTTTGGTGGACAGGTAAAACAGAGGCTCTGTATAGAGAGTCAATGCTTGTCTGTTCATTAGCATCATTTTCATTAATATAAAGAAACAATTAAAAGTATTGAAGTATTGTGCAACATAAGGGAAATGTAAATGAAATCCGAAATGAAACCATCAAATTTCCATGTATGATCATTTTGTTACTCTTAAAGAAAAAATATGTATTGTTAGTACTGTTTCAGAAATAACTGTATAGGCGGGGTGGGAGGAGCTTTGTTAGAGACCCCACCACCCATCAAATACTAAAAGTGATTTAATATCAGGAATGGTACACAGATATCGGTTTAAACCCACCACCAATAATACACTTGTATAATTATTTAGGTGCCTTCCACCTTCCCCATATGATTAATTATGGAATAACTTTAAAACTATTCAAATTTTGCACTAGTTGTGGTGGTGTGAACACATTAACAATTTTAAAATGTCATCTAGTCGCAGCAAAGTTCTAAGCCTATTTTCCTTCTGTTTGAAAACATTTGTTCCTTTGCTTTTCAGAAAATATGATGAAAATATTAAGTATTACTGTTAACTTTAAATATATAGGGGCAATGTAAATACAAGGTATAGCATTATCTAAAGAAATATCTTTGTGATTTTATTGTAAAATCTGTTTATCTTCCATTTTAGCGAGAATATTATGCCACCCACCAGTACTTTCTATCAGCAAGGTCACTCTACCTCGTCATGTGGAAACTGACCGATGGTGAAAAGGGTGTACAGAGTATGTGGCAGTGGTTGGTGAACATACAGGTTAGTAATATATAGTAATTAATGGTCACTGTACCACTCCCGATCAATGACTGAAGTAATACGTACAGGTCAGTAATATATTGTAATTAATGGTCACTGTACCACTGCTGACCACTGGCTGAAGTAATACAGGTCAGTAATATATAGTAATTAATGGTCACTCTACCGCTCCTGACCACTGGCTGAAATAATACAGGTCAGTAATATATAGTAATTAATGGTCACTCTACCGCTCCTGACCACTGGCTGAAATAATACAGGTCAGTAATATATAGTAATTAATGGTCACTCTACCGCTCCTGACCACTGGCTGAAATAATACAGGTCAGTAATATATAGTAATTAATGGTCACTCTACCGCTCCTGACCACTGGCTGAAATAATACAGGTCAGTAATATATAGTAATTAATGGTCACTGTACTACTCCTGACCACTGACTAAAGTAATACAGGTCAGAAATAAATAGTAATTAATGATCACTGTACCACTCCTGACCAATGACTAAAGTAATACAGGTCAGTAATAAATAGTAATTAATGGTCACTGTACGTACCACTCCTGACCACTGACTAAAGTAATACAGGTCAGTAATATGTAGTAATTAATGGTCACTGTACCACTCCTGACCACTGGCTGAAGTAATACAGGTCAGTAATATATAGTAATTAATGGTCACTGTACTACTCCTGACCACTGACTAAAGTTATACAGGTCAGTAATATATAGTAATTAATGGTCACTGTACCACTCCTGACCACTGGCTGAAGTAATACAGGTCAGTAATATATAGTAATTAATGGTCACTGTACCACTCCAGCTGACCACTGACTAAAGTAATACAGGTCAGTAATAAATAGTAATTAATGGTCACTGTACCACTCCTGACCACTGACTAAAGTAATACTTTATCAAAATAAACTTATGCAGAATAAAAACATTTCTGTATTTTAATTCAATCTATACATAGCTTCACCCCTGAAATAAATGCATACTTCTTTAGTAAGGTAATCAAAAAAAATGAAATTTCACTTTTACCTATGGCTTCAATGTTTACTCAGTTGCTTGCATGGCCTGATGATGGGAATTCAGTTTTCAGAGAACTGATTGAAAAATTGCTGACTTCCTTCAGAAAGGGAACTAGCTTTAAGAGAACTGAATGTAAAACTGTTCACTTTTCCTGAAAAAAACCCAGATTTAAAAGAACTGACATAGAAATGAAATGTATATATGTTTGTTATGTATGAGACTTTGGTCCTGGCAGGCAAGGGCACCAGGATCGCCAGTGATTATCATCGGGACCCACAAGGATGTAATAGAGGCTCGGGCAACCAAGAAGAATTTCACAGAGAACTGGGAAGAGGACTTAAACAAGCTCATAGATCAACAGTTTTGTCTCGTTGAGGAGCCGGACAAGTGTGGTCTTCCTAACATCATTGCTCGTATCAACATCAGTACTCGTAGCCGCCGTGACGTCAACAAACTCGTCGACTGTATCTACCGCACAGTGTTTGAACTCAAACATCCACGTATGTGTGTCTGTTGTTTGTAAGATTATGTCATTTTGAATCAGGTGGTCTGTCCTTAATGCTGGATAGAGTAGAATAAATCTAAATGTAGATATTAGGCCCTTGTTTAACTAGAGTGCTCCTGATGTAAATGTTCATTTTCTATTCTAAATGAATCAATGAAATTTGCTCAATTTTATTTTGCAAAGAAGTCAAAATGTGAAAAATTTGACAGCAGATACTTCACTGTAGATTAAGATCCGTTATCAATTTGGGTAATGAAAGCTATAGACTACAGAAGTGTTCATTGAAACTTTTCACACATACATCCTGTAGATTTTTACCTGTTATGTAAGGTGTTATAAAACACTGGATTTTTTAAGGATTACACGAAATATGTGTACCTTGTAAGAATTCTGCAACTCTTATTGTGGAAGTAAGAATGTCTTTGCTTGAATGAAATTGATGGTTGTAGGGCGGCGCCAAGAGAAATTACTGCGCCACAAGATTCCAAAGAAATACCTGCTGCTTAAGGAGATCGTCCAGGAACTCGCTGTGGAGCGGGAAAGGGAGAAAAAAGACCCAGTCCTAGACAAGGACTCCTACCTGTACGTATCCATGGATACAGTCAAATATTAGTCGTGTGCATTTATAACTTTTTACTTTAAACAACTTCTTCTCAGTAACCAAAAAGCCGAGGGTGATGATATTTGGCCAGAAGCATGCTTGGATGAAGGGTTACCAAGTTTGTTCAAATAAATGACCTTCATCAATGTTCAAGGTCACAGGGGTCAAATATGTTAAAATCTTTGAACGACTTCTTCTGAATAACCAAGAGGCCGAGGATGATGATATTTGGCCAGAAGCATGCTTGGATGAAGGGCTACCAAGTTTGTTCAAATAAATGACCTTCATCAATGTTCAAGGTCACAGGGGTCAAATATGTTAAAATCTTTGAACGACTTCTTCTGAATAACCAAGAGGCCGAGGATGATGATATTTGGCCAGAAGCATGCTTGGATGAAGGGCTACCAAGTTTGTTCAAATAAATGACCTTCATCAATGTTCAAGGTCACAGGGGTCAAATATGTTAAAATCTTT